AAACAAATACTAAAAATATCACCAATCAAATAAAAAATAAAAAACAATACTAGGCTGCCAATTGTCCAATCTGAAGACATCTTCGGAAGACAGTCAGGGGGGAGTTGTCTAGGATCCTGAACAACAGTTTTTTGGACCAAAAAAATATATTAAAAAAAAATGGGGGAGGTCTGCGCACCACTAAGGGACATCCCCAAAAATAGTTTAGGCCATTCTGAGCAAAAAACGACACACCACTAAGAAACATCCCCAAAAATAATTTAGGCCATTCTGAGCAAAAAACGACAAAAAATAGTAAAAAGGGGAAGAGGGGTGGAGGTTAATGGAGGGCCCGCTGCTACACACGACAACGAGGAGGAAGAAAAAGAAGACGACAAAAAAATTCCCACGAGAAATGGAAGTTGAAAAAACATTCCATAAAAAAAAAAATCCTTCATATTTATAAATTATCATTCCAAAGTTCGTCCAATTCTGAAATTTTCAGTTTTATTTGATAAGTTCCCGTCTAAATATGAGCTTTCCCTTCCAACTACATCTATTTGTTCAAGATGGAATGAAAGTCTGGATGAGTTTATGAAATGTTGTAATTAAATTTTCATTCTACTCCAACAAATATCTTCTAATTTAGATTGAATTAACCTATTTATGACTGAAAATCCTTACTTAGAATGAAAGTCCAATTAAAATATTTCATGAACTCATCCAGACTTTCATTCCATCTCTAGCATGCAGTCCAAATAAGAAGGGATACCCTATTCTTGGAATGAAAGTTTGCAAGTAAGATGAAAAAAATTTAAATTAGAATGACATTTTTTAAGATGGAATAAAAATTTAAAATTTAGATTGTAATTTTACTATAGAATGATTATTTAATTCTAGGAAATTTTTCCGTTGGAAGAAGAGGGAGAAGAAGAAAAGAGGAGGAATATGAGGAGGGGGCATAGGTGATGAGGAAGAGGAGGAAGAAGAAGAAGAAAAAAAAAAAGAAGAGGAGGACAAGGAGGACGAAGAAGAAGAGGAAAGAAGGACAAGGTGATGGGAGAGGGATGGGCCCGAACGATGAAAGGTCGACGACGAGGAAAAAAAGAAGAACAATAAGGGAAGGAGGAGGAAGAGGAGGAGGAGGTCGTGGAGGAAGAGGATGCCTTTTTTTTTTCACCTCAATTTTTGATGATTTTCATTTTCGTTATTTGATAAATTAAAATTGACTGAAAACCTATAAGGGTATATGTCACTTCTCAAAAGAACACCAGTTTTTTTCAGAAAAAGAAAAACAGGAAAAAGAAAAACAGAAACTTCAAAAAACAAAATAGAAACTAGGATAGCATATTTTCTTCACCACCATCTTTCGCAATTTATAGCTTATTTTCTACTTGTCAAAACGCCTCAAGACTTTATGGGCATATGCCTTATCTGAAGAAGAATCCACATAAAACAAATTCAAAAAACAAAAACAAAAATATATATTTTTATGTAGGTTCGGACAGAGGGCTCCAATTGGACGTTTGGGCCAATTGTCCAGGTGGACATCCTGAACGGTGAGGGGGACGCCCGATCAGGTAACATAGAAAAAGTACGTCAAAACTGAACATTTCGCTCCGTGCCTGAACATCTCTATAAACATTCTGGAGAACTAAAAGTATTAAACACGTACTAACTAGATACATAGCTTCTTATTAGTTCTAACAATAAACATAACATTATACATCTTAGTCAATTAAATTCATTGATTTGTATTTTCATTTTCGTTTTTACTCACACACACAGCTCCGTTTATTATGAGGGACACCAGTCCGGTTACTTATGACTGGCAAGCATTGGCTTACAAAGAATAAGAATGACTCACCCCTACGACCCTAGACACCCGCCCAAGGAAGAGCTCCCGGTTACTTATCACTGACAGGCATTGACTTAGGAGAATAAGAATGCTTCACGGCCCTGCACACCTGCCCAAGGGGTGGCTCCCTTCACGGATCTGGTGCATGTTTACAGGCAGCCAGAGCAGCCTGCCCAACGAGAGGCTCCCTTCACGGATCTGGTGCATGTTTACAGGCAACCGAAGCAGCCTACCTTAAACCACCACTTCACAGGACCAGCCTTGCTGAAAATGCAACTCGTCGCCTGTGAAATTTCTAGAGGCTCAGCCTACTGAACCACAGTGGCTAGCGTTTTGAAAAAGCTCGGCGTGTAGTAAGCCGCCTCCAGGCCCGGGTGTACTAATGGTTTAAGCTCCCCTCTCCTACTTCCCATGTCTTCCTAAATACCCGTCCCCCGCTGGCCTCCGTACTTTTGTCCTTGTATTTACTCCCAGCCAAACTATTATATGTTCCACAACTCATCTCATTGTAACCATACCAACCCTCCCCTCACTAGCCTAAAATACTACAACCACTATCCTCCCTACTCCCCCCCGTAATTGGTAAATCATCCCCCGTTGTTAGCCTCACCTACCCCCTCCGCTATCCACCCTTGAATGTGCAAGAACTCCCCAAACCTCAAACCTCCAATTTGTTCATCCCTTCACACCAACTGACCATTATATCGTTCCCAGATTGCCCAAAATCTTCAACATGCTTCACCCCGTTCCTCTTACGTTTGAGGAATTGCATTGTCACAGCCAGACGAATGTTATCAACTTCCCGATTTCTAAGTGCATCTGCATTCGCCTACTTACCCTGCCTCAAACACTCGTTGCAAAGGGGTCCATGTCCAAAGGATCACCCGTCTCAAAACTTCAGTTGCGTCTGATGTTGCCCGGTCTGTATGGTTCGTCCGCATCACCACACCCAACAAAATAAGTGGGGTCTTCTTCTTTCTTACATCTAGCATTGCACAATGTTCCGCCACCCGCCCCCACCATTCCCAAGTAGCCCTCACCACAGGGCAGTCCACGAATAGGTGCGGAATCAATTCCACTTGGTTGCACCCGATTGCGCAGCTCTCGCCCTTGTACAAACTTTTAGTTGCCATGCATTGTGCAGTAAATACTGTCAAATAATAAATGATTCACCACAATCCCACCCGAATCAGATCCGGTAATTCCAATAAGATCATCAACTGCACCCTCAACCTAATGGAGTTCCATCGCTCCAAATAAGAATCTGGAATCCATTCCTGTTTAGCCCACTACCCCATTAGTACTCCCAACATATCCACACTGAGCAACACTGACTTACATATCAACTTAGTTGTCACCTAATGCATCGGAACCTTGTGCGCGTTGTTTTGTTGTAATGCCCATGTTGCACATTGAACAGACAAAACACCATTGAGCAAACAGAACACCATTGATTGGACAGAACACCTGCGGGTTTACCACCAAGGATCGTCTTGTTGCACATTGAACGATCAGAACAGCATATGCAACCCCTTCCTCACTTCATACACAAAGATCGTTTCCACGTCCGCAAACTGGACAACTTAGTCACATGCAGCAACCATGTCCCTCTCCAAGGGCTTTCCAAGTCCCACCCTTCCCATGGTAATGCCCCATGGAGACAGTGTCACCCTCAACCGTCCTTGTGGTAGTACTTTCTCCACTCGAAATAACCGCCGCAGGGGGACTGCTCCCCTTGCCGTTTCACCTATTCCCTGCAAGTCAGCGGGGGACCTCGCAACAAGCCCAACCATTGGTCCGCCACAACCTGAATAAGGGCCAACACACGCTCGTCCCTGTGCACCTGCCGAGTGAGTCGTTTTGCCATGTGCTGCAAGGTATTCCAATCCTTTCTATGTTCGTCCCACAAATGTCCGATCAACATCCCGCACTCCACCCACTCCCTCCCAAAAGCCCGTTTTGTTCCCTTACAGGAGAACATGTCCCCTTGCAGGCCACAAATGTATGGATTTTCGAAAAAGTACTAATTCTAAACCTCATGTGCAGCAGTTGGGGGAACCTGAAAAAGCTTAATCTTCCGCATTAGTACCAAGGGGGTCGACCACACTTCACCCCTCCTTACATAACCCCAACAGGGTGGTGCTAGTGAGACTAAGATCCACTATGTGCGTGAGTGACAAAGCATATGCAAGGTGGTCCCATGCGAGTTTAAAGCTCCCTTGCATACCCCCACAAATACCAGAATACATTTCAAATTTGCATCGTGGGTCAATTATCCCCAAGTCCCCCTTATGCCTTCTGCCGCAGCCATATCACTGGCCCAATGGAATTTGTGGATGGCCTGCCTGAGGAACCGAAACGTCCGTCTTGCAGGCATATGGATTGCTCTTGCGCTTACGAGAGCGCGGATAGCATTGCATTGTTAATTACTAGGGGCTTCCCATAACAGCCCAACAACACTCTTGTGCACCATCTTGACAGCCTAAACACTACTTCAGCCGCTAGGTTTGCCATCTGCATACTCCCTCCATCTTCCGGGGTAATCATGGCCCCCAAGGAACATACCTCATCCCGCTATTGGATTGGAGGAACGTCCCACCCCTTGGGCGCACGACCCGTGACTTGTCCCATTTAACGCTGGACCCTAAATAGGGGCAAAAGGTGGGAAGGTCTCGCTTCAAGAACTGCAACTACTGCACTGTAGGCAGGATGATCGCGCACATATCGTCCGCAAAAGCAATGGATTTAAGCACCAGACTGGACCCTACTTCCAGTGCTTGGAGCTGTTTATCCTCTCTAAAGATAATGCAGCATCTCTATGTACAACACAGATGCAGCCAGCAACAACGGAAACCCCTACCTTACCGAGCGAGAGACCCAGATTCGTTAAGACCGCACTCCATTGACCTGCATCACTGTATGAGCCAAGCGGAACAGCTGGAACCAGTACCCCTACGCTGCATGTTGCAAAACTCCCATTTAAGTCTATTGTATGCTTGTTTTAGGTCCACCATGATAACGGTCGACCATTGTCCCGTCCCTTTCCACCCGTTCCAAAACCGACCAGGCTAACATGATGTTCGAAACTATATGCCATCCAGAGGCCGGTTTGGGACAAGTGTACGAGGGATGGAAGCACCCGACTCAATCTGTTCCCTAAAACTTTTGCTAAGATCTTGTACAACACGTTTAGAATTGAGATCGACCTCCTATTCCACACATTCCCGCACTCCCGCTTCTTATAAAGCAAGATCGCAACGGCATCTACAAAGCTCTGTGGGATTGGCTTCTCCGCAAAGGCCAGGATAAATATTGCAGTTAGATGGGCCACCATCAACTGCTCCAGCTCTTTGTACAACTCAACCGGCACCCGATCGACCCCAGCGACTTTTAACTGGGGTAGCTCCGTAACCACAAAAATCACCTCCTCCTCCATGATCTGCAGATGCATGCTCTCATCTACGGTTCCAACCTTCTCCTCACCGCATGCCACACCTTTTCTGCCCGCTGCAATGCCATCTCCTCCGAGAACCAGTGCTCTTCTGCCGAAGCAGATTCGTGTAGAATTCCACCACGCACCCCAAAATGCCACAAGTAGTCGTTCTCCATTTGTCGGGTGGGCCAAAGGGCCGCTGCATGGCAATCATCAGCAAGGATGATTTTGTTATCTATATATTACGCAAAAAAACACTGATGCATCTGCTCCCCACCAGCAACCATGCCTCGACTGTCCGCCTACCCCACTTCGCCACCTCTTCCTCTTGCCACTCCCCGCCATGTTCTAACAGTCTCTACCCTCCCACCACCACACTTCCACCTCCTGGCCCTCCTCCAGGCCCCAACCGCTCCACAAACTCTTGCCCTGTTCTCAAGTGCGCCTCAAACTTATCTTTCAGTCTGATCCGAAGGTGTTCCCTCACAACCTGCAGCCCTGTCACAATCCACTCCGTCTGGGAGCAATCTTGCAGCTGTCTCCTAAACCCATGATCCCACTATTGCCATATGAACAGGGCAAACTCCCGGTTGTGAACACCCAAGCCAGCAGCGCCGGCAGCACGTGGCCCATCTCCGACCTCCCCACCGAATGATGAGTGGAGTCCTCTCCATGCAAAACGGCTCGCACCCCCATTGAATCTCCTCAATGGCCCAAATTTGTCAAGCCGACAACGATGCTCCGATGAAACTCCTCCATACGTATATCCTAGAATATATAGCAAAACGCTTTGGTACACATCCACACAGACTAGCTCCGCCATCCCCAGCTACAAAGCCTCTGCATTAGGGGTGGCCTGTCTGTCCCCCACCGAGTCAACCATTACACACTTTCATCAAATTCATTATTTCAATCCCTCGATAAAACCAATGCATGTACTCGAAGTCCATCTTATCAAATTAAACTATCGAACTTAAAGCATCCAATCCAATTTGATCAACATGGCAACGAGCAGAAACTGCTGATGTTTGCAAGGGGAAGAGAATGGAGGAGACACTGTGATTGGCCCACAGAAGAATGTCGACCCTAATGCTACCAACTGCCCCCTAACCGATATCGCCCACTTGCAGGTCGAGCACACCCAACTTTTTCCGGAGTTAGAGACTTGAACTCCTGTTGGCTGTTATGGTGTTCCCTGGACACTGTAATGATAATACAGACCTAAAAGGCCTAAAAGGCCTTCCTGTCCTGATCTGACAGACAATTGAATTGATGGTTACAATAGAACCAAACAAAAGGCAGGGGTGCGGTCCACAGAGAGGGCAAGGAAAAAGGCAGGCCAAGGGTGGGCCCAAAACCGAGATGGTGCACATGGCCAAAAATCGAAGAAGCGAGGGCGGGAAAAATGGCTGACGGAGCCAAAACGGAGACCCGACGAATCCCGACAGTAGTCGTCCTCTTTCTCTCTCTCTCTCTCTCTCTCTCTCTCTCTCTCTCTCTCTCTCTCTCTCTCTCTCTCTCTCTCTCTCCACACGCACACACACGCACACACACACACACACACACACACACACACACACACACACACACACATGTGTGTGTGTGTGTGTGTGTGTGTGTGTGGAAGAATCGACTAGAGACCACACCGCCGGTTGTTTTACGCCTTCGCACCGGCGNACACACACACACACACACACACACACACACACACACACACACACACACACACACACACACACACGCACGCACTTCACGTGCCATCGGAACCATATCTTCTGTAAACAGCCAATTGCCAACGAAAAGACAGGAAAACGATACCACATATCTCACACCAAAAGAGCAAGCTCCAATGTCTATTTTGATTCCCTCTTTTTCGCTCAGGACAACGAACGTTTTTAGAATGGGCCCCAAGGTCACAGCTATAGCAAAAAGAGTTCCAATACAAAAGAAAGAGGGAATCTCATTCCATCCCCCAATCTCTCTCTCTCTCTCTCTCTCTCTCTCTCTCTCTCTCTCTCTCTCTCTCTCTCTCTCTCTCTACCCGCTCAAATTTTTCACCTTCTTTCTCCTCCGTTGCCTCCCTTCCACAAGATAACTTCCATCTTACGACTTCTGCCCTACATCCCCCCTCCCGATCTTTTCCCCATAAATCCGCTTTTCCATCTTACAATGGGCCCCAAGGCCTCATCTATAGCAAAAAGAGTTCCACTCTGGTTTGCACCCCTAATAACACCACCAACACCCCCGTAGCGGCCCCTAATACCCGAATACACCCCCCAAACACCCCGAAAGCGCCCCCGCCCCCTCATTACCCCCCCCAATACCCCCTATATCACCCTTGTACCCCCTATACCCCCTCTATACTCCAACCCCAACGCCGCCATACCCCCCCGCGTCCCCAAAAGTTTCTCAGCGAATTTGGGCTGTACTGAGCAAGCGTAGTACAGCCCCCAACTCAGATTTGAAAAAAGTCAATGGATGGTAGTTTTTTTTTTTTTTTTTTTTTTTTTCCCAAACTCGACGGTTGCAATACGGTCAGCAGTCGGGGTCGGCGGTCCGCAGAGATACAACCTCATTCCTTCCCCCCTTCCCCCAAACTCTTTTCCACAAAGCCACTTTTCCACATCCGCTTCCCTCCTTGTCTTGTGTCTGTCACGTCCTGTATACCGTTTTTCTCCACGCCTTTCTCCTCTCTTAGGATCCTCTACAAGCTCTTGCACCTCCAATATTGCTCTTTCTTCATTCATTGCTCTCTCTCCATCACCTACATATGGCCCTTCATCATTATCCGGCCATCTCCTTTCCTTACTTGTTCCACCTCCCCCCCGCTCAGAGATCCTTGCATTCTCTTCTTCCTTACCGTGTGCAGATCCCCTTACATGACCTGCATTCCTTAACCTGTTGCCTTGTCCTTATGTCCCCTACACTTTATCGGTTCCTACATCCGCACCCCGATAAGCTAGCATCTTGATCTCCTCCTCTCGATCCCAGATCCTGATTGCCCCCCTTCCATCCTCACCATGATTAGCTGGCTTTCCGGCCTCCTCTCGATCCCACATCCTGATTGCCCCCCTCCCAATCCGCTACTCATCCCCTCCTCTACAATGGGTCCCCGGCTCACATCCTCCTATTTAATTTAGGACCCTCCTCAACGTCTTCCTCTTCCATAACCTCCTTTACGCTGTAAACCACTCAACCTTTCACCACATGCTTCACCCTATCGCAATGATTGTCCTTCTGCTTCATCTGTCATCGCATCTCGTCCTGACCGACCAAATCCTCACTCTCTCATCCTCCTGATCCCCCATCCTCACCCTGATTGGCTGGCATTCCTACCTCCTCCTCTCAATCCCACATCCTGATTGCCCCATCCCAATCGGCTGCTCATCCCCTTCTCTGCAAATTGGGTCCTCGACCCACATCCTCCTCCGATTTACTTCAGGACCCTCCTCAACGTCTTCCTCTTCCATAACCTCCATGTTGTCAAGTTTACACTGCACGCTTCACCCTATCGCGATGACTGTCCTTCAGCTTCCTCTGTCATTGTATCCCATCCTGACCAACCAAATTACCACTCTTTCATCCTCCTGATCGCCCATCCTCATCCTCCCCTTTCGCCCTTCTCCTGCTACTCCTGCTTCTCAAGAATCCAATGGCGACCTTTGTCTACTTGCATGGCCAGCCACTTTACCTCCCCCTAGTCTTCCTTCTCCCCTTGCCTCTCCGCATGCACGTCATAATCCCCACCTACTCCTTCAGATGGCGGCTGTGCAAAAGTCCAGTCCCACTTGCAACAAGGCACCCCCACACAAAATGGAGTTGCAGCCGTAAACGTGGATGGTGGGAGGAGAGATGGGATGCAGGGAGGGAGGGGAAGAGAGAGGGCGGGTGCACTTCGCATACGCCAGGGGAACCCACCTATTTGGTTTTGGGGCCGAGTGTGAATGGAAACCTCCACCTCTTCACCCAAAAAAACGCTAAGGGAGAAAGGGAGAGTGGGAGAGAGGGGGAGAGGGAGAGAGGCAGAAAAGGATAGAGGGAGAGAGGGAAAGAGGGAGTGAGGGAGGGAGGCAGAGAGGGAGGGAGGGGGAAACGGGGGGAGGGAGAGGGGGGGAGGGAGGGAGGGGGAGAGGAAGGAAGGGTGAGGGAGAGTGGGAGGGGGAGGGAGAGGGAAGGAGGGAGCACTTCGCTAACCCGTAGACAATCACCTGGAGCATTTCGCTAAGCTGCAGGCTCTCACCTATTTCCTCGCTAAGTGCAGAGTGAATGGAACGCTCCACATCTTGAGGCACAACACCGCAAGCACATAGAGGGGGAGCCACACACACACACACAAGAGAGAGAGAGAGAGAGAGAGAGAGAGAGAGAGAGAGAGAGAGAGAGAGAGAGAGAGAGAGAGAGAGAGAGAGAGGCAGGCTGCACTTCCGCACACCGAGGATAACCATGTCTGTGCCAGACTGTTTCGTCGAACTTTCACTCACTCATCAGGAAGTTCAACCCCGACAGTCTACCCAGGATACCCTGCTAAAAGTGGTATGTCCGTGTTTGTGAGATGGTGTTGTGTGCATGTGCATATGTGTGTGTGAGAGCACCTGTGTGCGTGTGCGTGTGTGTATGTGTTGTTTTAAAAGACCCCAGATTCTCTCGTATTCCCTTCATAAATCATCACAAGCCATCCATAACGAAAATTTAAAGTATAGATGGGCAATATAATACAAAATGCAACGTTGGCCACGTTTGTGAGCCAAGTGCCCACACACCCGCCTGCCTCCAAAGCAGCACACTTGCACATATACATATGTATACATATATATATCAAACCATAAGGGGATGGAGGGCAGAAGGCAACTTAATTGAGACAGAAGAATTCTCCAGCAAGAAGGCACCGACCCGACCCCCAATGTTCGAAAAAACTTGGAGAGTCTGTGGTGCGCAACCTCACACCCAGCAAGGCGTTCCGTACCTGGAACGCCGATCAGAGTAGTTAGGGGCGTGACCAAAGATTTTTGGCCATGGGGGTTGAGCCACGCGGTCGAAAAGGGGGACTCTTGCTTCAGGCCGAGGTGACCAGGATTGGGCATGATCTGTCGCCAGACAAACAACAGCGTCCTACGGGACGACCGTCGCTCCTCTCATGGAAAAGGGAAGAAAACAAAACGAAAGGGGAAGGGCGTTTTGTTCCCTTAGGTCCGTGGTTCGCACGGCCCTTGGGGGCGGAGGCCCCGAAAATAGGTTTAGGCTTAGTTGTCGGAGTCGTCGAGTCTGTGCGGAGGGCGCAGCACAGGCTCGCCCGAGGTTGGGCAGGTCGATGGGACCCAGGTTCGAAAATGGGCGGGGAGCGCACTCGCGTTGCGCGAGATTTCGGGGAATCGAGTAGCCCCTTCGTACCCCAAGACCATTCGTCGCCACAAGCACGAGTCTCCCTAGCAACACGATTGACAATTAAACCGCGGTCGCCAGGTGGCGTGCACAGCGGACCAGGGCAACACCGTGAGGTTGGTGTACGACAAAATTAGAGGCGGGGAAGCATATCGCTCAATCAGCACAAACCCACTCCCGCCTATGTGGCACGCCTGGGTCGGGTTACAAAGATGGATTGGCTCAATGCGCCACAGCAGGCGCCGCACGTCCGCATCGCAGCATATGCCATTGTCGGCAGCGATCGGGAAGGGCGGCAGCGCGCTGCGACACTCTGAGACAAGGTCCGAGCTCGGGCCACGGCCCGCACTTCCGTTCGTCGAGACCAAACCTGACTCCATTCAAAGATCGACGAACACCGCTGGAGAAGGATGCCCCCGAACTTTCTTTCTTTGTCTCTTCTCTGTAACCTCCACCTGAACGTGGCGTCGAGCACCCTTCAAGTTGGTGGAGATAGAGAGGTCGGTCGCTTCGCGCGGACGCAGGTGGCCGATCTCTCTGATAGTATCCACCTCCCCTTGGAGTCCCAACCTGCACACGAAGAGGAAGAGAGAGAGAGAGAGAGAGAGAGAGAGAGAGAGAGAGAGAGAGAGAGAGAGAGAGAGAGAGAGAGAGAGAGAGAGAGAGAGAGAGA